CTGAACGACTCTTGCCGGCTTAGCCTATTGGTCGCACCTCGTTTCACCGGTTATTGGTTGCTTTTTAGTTCATTGTTGCTTCTTGTTGATTTCGTTAGGACCGAGTGCGGCAACCGCCGTCGACGAGGCCTGCTCACGCCAAAAAAAAACAGCGAGACCTTTGGGCGGAGTATGCTGGAATGTTCCTGTTTCTCTGCCAGTTGGACTTGCGCTGCAGAAGAGACGGAGGACAAATTGAGAATGCTTTAAAATAAACGGATGCTCTGGGTTGCCGAGAAGCCCACAATTGTGAAAAAGGCATACCTTGCCTTGGCCTTAACACGAAGCAGCTGGGTTGTTGTTCGAGCACACTGAAACATGTCCACAGAGAAAGTTTCGGTTTTTTTGACGACAGGCACGTCTTCTGGTCAAGTTCATCAAGATTCTTGCATTTCCAGTGAATTCCAGGTTTTTTTGCATTGGCTCACGTGTCGACTGCATGGATGTGGTGTGCACAGGTGTTGTACATTGCAGCAAATGTTATGGAGAGAGCTAATGCACAGTTTCTCTGCCAAATGTTTGATTGATGTTTGTTTCCATAATTCTGTTGGTGACACAGTTCATGTGTCTTAGTTCTGATTAGATTTGTGTTAGCATGTGCATGTGTGCATTGTCTATAGAACCGTGTCACGTGGTGCTTGCTTGACCATTTGAAGCTGATTGCATCTCTGTCTGTGCATTTGCTTGCAGTGTGCATTCCGGAAGAGCCAAAAACTGTCCATTGAAATTTTCATTCAAGCTCGTTTTCGAAGCTGCCAGTGCAAAGCATCAGCAGATTGTATGTTATTGATGACCGCAACATGCAAAAAATACAAATGTCCAATCTTTTCTTTCTATCAGCGTTGTCAAGATGCTGCCACTTCTCCTGGGATGTTGCCTTTTGCTTTTGCAGAAAAGGAATTTATTTTTGCGTTTAGTGTCACACCATGAAATTCTTTAAACTTGTTGTGTCAAGAACAACGCCAAGTGTTGCGCGGCCTGTGCAAGCGCCATGGCCTTGCAAAGCTTGTGGAAACAACCGGATGCCGGTTGAATTTTCCAAGGTCATGTGCTTGTTTATAAACCTGAAAACCCAGCACATCAGAATTTCAGTGACACTTTTTGTTCTTTTCATGATGCTTCATCATGGCCAGCAACTGCTTTTGTGATGAGCTTTTCGGCGCCGATTGATTAAGGCACCGTGTTAAGTTCCACACCGCCAACCCACGATGTGTAGTTTCCCAAGCCTGGCATTTGAATTTTCACGCGCAAATCCCCAAACTTCAACCTTGAAGCGATGACTATGCCATGTCTGGGCAAAGCCTGACCAAGGCGCTTACGGGTTTGGGTTTGAAGGTTGGGGGTTGAATTGGGCAAGGGGTCGGGTTCTCAGTTTGAGGATGCAAGCGCCGGTTAGGGTCAGGGACATTGTTAGACAGTGTTTAGTGTTGTTTCAAGTTCGAAGCAAATGATACAAGATGCCATGGGTTCAGCCATGATCGAGTTGGATTCGAGGTGAAGCTTGCATGCCTCCAGCCAGTGCAAGCCTTCCTTACCCCAGCCACAACTTCGCTTCATTTGTCAGCATCGCATTTTGTTGTGAAAGTGCCTTCTTCAAATTCCCCGGCTCCCCATCATTGTGAGCATTGTTCTGCTTTTCACTGCGCTGCTGCTGCTGCTGCTGCGGCTGCTGCCACGTGCCAATCCTCCTATTTCTACGGTGGCGATCTGTTGGTGCCACTGTTGTTTTCTCTGCAACTACATGACCTTCCTTCAAAGGTGCCGCTGGATCGCTTTGATTTTCAAGGAAGGCGTGCGTTATTAGCTCACGAGTTCTACATGGCTCACCACTCCGTAGAAGGAAGACTTTGCAAAGGTCATGTAGCACATGTGACCGGCAAGTAGGCCATGAACCTCAGTTACCGAGTTGCAGCCTGTGCTTATGCACTGCCGGGCGAGCATGAAGAACGCTTTTCCATGTGCGAGATGCCATACTGTTCCAAGGGAGCATAAGCGCATGGGGGAAGGGCTTCGACAAAACTAGATCGAAAGTCCACGAAAGTTAAGAAGCCATGGCGCTGTGGTTGGGAGAGGAGTCGGTACTGACAGATGAGAGCAGGCTCTTGCGTGAACAAAGGATCACTGTCCGTGTGGATGCACGAATGACACCAGATCAAGAAAGGGCTTGGATGTCAACATGGGAAGGTTCAGGTGCCGGATCTTCTTCGGAGTACCTCTTCCAGCCTCCATCCGACGAGCAGAGCGAACTGCGAGTTGCGCATTGCCCCCTCTTCGACGACGAGCCCTTTGCGAGGCAGCATGCAGCAGCGCTGCTGAGGAACGCGTCGACATTCATTGGCCAGGCACTGGATGCAGGTGAGTCCGTCTATGTGCACTGCAAGCATGGAGCATCGAGATCAGCCTCGATCGTTGTGTGTTACCTGATGGAGCACCGAGCCATGACACTACTTGAGGCAGTGAGTTGGGTTAAGGACAAGCGTGCCAAAGCAGGACCCAACGATGGATTTCTGGATGTCCTCTTCGAGTTAGAGGAGAATCTGCGGGGGTCGCGAAGTGACCGTGATGAAGTCCTGAGTGTCGTCCGGCGAAAGTGGTTGGCCGACTACAAGGCAGGTCGTGTCCAGTTGAATCGCATGGACAGGATCATCTGAAAATGGGGTTACTGCGGCAGCTTCTTTGTCATCGTTGCGGGATCCAACCCCGCAGCGAATCTGAAACCCTCCCTAGATTCTAAAGTCTAGTTGAAGATGTTTGAGCCCACTCAAGATCTTGATTAGGCAAGCATTAACCTTTTGGGGTCTACTGAACCGGCCAACGGCGGGGCCCCTCGCTGTCATTTTATGTGCCGTCTTGCAAGGGTTCGCAAGCAGCACAGAGTTCGAAAGAGAGTGGGGGTTCGAGGGTTGATACTTTTTGTGAGGCCACCGCTCACTCGATGTTCGGTTGATGATCCAAACTAGGTCCTTTCTCAAAGTACGACCTGCGGGATCCAACTCACCAAAGCCCCGCCAGCCCAGCCGCAAAATCCGACTGGAGTGAGGAAGATGTAAAGGCCCCCTAGCCCGAATCCCTACCCTTGTGGGGCTCAAGGATGCAGGGTTATGCAAGAGTAGCGCTGCGTGCTGCATGCTCCTAAGACCTTGTTACAAGGACTTCACACCTTAGTCAATCGCAAATCAAAACCCCTGCAGAAGCTTCGAAATGCACGAGGTGTTGGCGACTCGTGAGGCGGGTGGCTTAAGGTTTTTCTCTTGGTATTTGGGGGCGTCCGGATATTGGCTTCTAGACATTCAATTCCAGGCAACGCTTTTGGAGGAGCACAATCATTTTGTAGATTTTCAGGCTCTTCTAGAGGTTCCGCTTCTGAAGAAGTGGATTCATGCGCGCTAACGGTGCAGGGACTTCTGCTAACTAGGAAAATGACAGCAACATCACTCTTCGGCGAAATGAACATGAGATGATGGGGATGGTCATGGTGAAGACAACGGTGACAGTGGCCATCATGGTTAGAGTGGTCGTCCTCGTCCTCCTCCTGTTCCTCCTCCCAAATCCTTTGCCTCTAAAAGCCCCAAAGCCCAAGCCCGCTAAGAGTCGCCGAGTCTCTCCGCACCGCAGCCTTTGCAAAAGTTCACGTGGCTCTGGCAAGTCCCGGCCACGGTGTTGAGAGTAGAACTGACACTGAAGGCTTCGTGTAGTGTCGAACTGGGTTTTGGGTCAGGATTCAGGAGGCTTGAGAGCTGGGGTGCGGAGTGGGGGCATGGCGACAGTGGGGTGCCTGGAGTTTGGCATCTGCGGTCTGGACATCACGGTGCCCAAGGACGCCTCTGATCAGAAGTGCATTTTCAGTGGTGCAAGCTTCCTGTAGGGCTTGAACCGTTGGAGTCTCGGGTTCAATTCTTGGTTGATTTCGGTCAGAGGAGTCTACAGGGCTCGGTTCTGGCCTTGTTATTACCATTTCTGTTGTGGCTTGTTTTAGAGCTTTTGGGGGATGTAGGGGGAGTGGGGTTCATGAATCTAGTCAGAATTCGGCCGGCTACATGTACATGTTGCGAGATGTTTAGGATGTGCAATTGTCCCGCGGGCCTTGACGACCTGTCGTGATCGGTTGGGAATTTGAATTCCTGAGAAGGAAGTCCTCTCGGAGCTTTTCAGCCCGCCGGCGGCCTGCCGGGTGGTGCCGGTTGCCGCATTCCAGCTGGCCTATCAAGGCACGTTGCCCTTGGTTCCGTTCCGTGCCTCAGTGTTAGAGGACGACGTCTTCTTCCGCTGAGCGCACAGTTTAGGCACATGTCACATATGGCAAAAATTCAGAACACACCAGAATCTACCAAACTTGTTTTGGCTTTCTTTTCCAGATGGAACCTTCACCAAGGTAGCTTGCCAACCTTTGTGTGGCAGTTCTTGGATCTATACGTGTAAACGTCTTTGTTTCGATTAATTCCAGGGAAGTTCTTTGTAAGCGGTGGCAGCAGAAAGGTTGCTAGGGTAGGTGTTCAATTTTTTTCAGTTTTTTCGCCTCCGCAGTAACTTCAAGGAAATTTGTTCTTTTGCTCTGTCTTTCCGAAACTTTAAGAACGTTCCTACAGTTTGTTGTAAAGGGGCAATGATCGGCGTCCGACAGTGCAACAGGTCCTGTGACAAAGCGTTGCCAAGCGATGTGAGTGAATATTGCAGGCCCAGGCATCACTTCATAGTTGCACCAGGAAGTTGGATATACACACGAGTTTCTGAAGCCTAGTCCCCGAAACAACGAGCGTCAAGTCCGAATCGTCAAGACAAAGGCCGAACCCCTTAAATCCCTGACGTTCATGGCCTACAGGCAGGCAATCTCAAGACAGACGCCCCCATAGTAAGCCGCAAGTCCTTGAGTCAAATCTTCAGGCTTCGGCTCTGACCCCAACATCCGAATCTTCAGACAAAGGGCTGACAAACCCTTGGAGGAAGGAAGGCCTCTTCATGGAGTCACAATGGGGTCCCGATGAACCCTTAAACACTCAGTAGCGTGCAAAGTCCCAAATACCTGCAACAAATGGAGCCTTGGCAAGTCCAAGCCTGAAGGCTAAGGCCCTAAGCCCCAAGTTTCGGACCCAAAGAACCCCAAATTCTGACACCCGAGCCCCTAAAGCTGCGAGGCTATCCCTGGCTGCCAGCCTCGGGCTACCTTCCCGATGGCTCCATGGAGGCGAGTGGAGCATAGGGTGCAGCAGAGGGTTCTTGAACTTGATCTTTGGGTTTCAGGGTTTAAGTAGGACTTGGCTTTGAGTCTCGAGATGCAAGGCCTTATGCGTAGGATTCCTGCTTAGGAAGGCCACCAGGCTTTTGCCCTGCAGTCTTTGCCCGAAGTCGTTCGACATGTCGCCATCAATGTGCGCTGACGAGGGGAACCTGCTGTCAAAATAAAGTCACAGGGTAGGGAGATGTACTTCTCAAGCTTGTGGATGCGATGTCCAGGCGTGAGCAAATCCAATCTCGAGAAAGACGTATCGTACCCATCCTGACCGCTAATAGTGAAAAGCCCATTTTGAATTCCTAGGATCTGACGCTTGAGCCTGACGCTTGATTCCATTGTTCTTCGACATCTCAGGGCCGGCGATATCCGAATGGCGAAACCTATCCATCGTGGCATGAGATCGACGAGATGAGCTTCGGCCAAAGGGACTGAAGGCTTTTTTTCTGCAGCATTCCGAACTTGGGCTGTTCGGGCTTCTGGTTTGTGCCTTATCTCCAGCCTGATCCATCCTGATCCTTGGGACATGGGGCGGCAGGGTTCCACTATGGTGGCTGTGCCACAGGACCCAAGACGGGACCATCGAAATGAAGATCGTTGTTATCATCGTGCATATTTGCTCTTCTTCCTTCTTGTGTAGCAGGGTTTCACGGAACGGGCTATTCATTTGCATTTATGTTTGCTGACCCCGCACAGATTCTCCGAACTCAACGTTGTGAGCAGTGGTCTTGACGAAGAACCACATTTGTTGCTGCATTTTAGGTAGTCTTCAGGACGTCTTTGTGGTTATGGCCATTTCAGACAGGCAGGAAACCCGAGACGATGGCGATTGAAGGTTGAGCAAGCGCAATAGGCTTTGTCGGAACACTCTTTCCAGTAGTAGTAGTCGTCGTCGTCGTCGTTGTGGTCGTTGTTGGGGCTCCTGTTTTTGTTCGTTCCTTGTTGTTGTTGTTGTTGTTGTTGTTGTTGTTGTTCGTCTTCTTGCTATTGTGTTTAAGCCTCTCGGCTCAGGTAAGGTCAGGCT